ACTCGTTAATGAATTTTAATATGAATGCGAATTCTCGTTGTAGCATTCATAGATTGTCAAGAACAGGAAGCACAATACTGTACCGTGCGCTGGGAAGATTATAGCGGTATTGAAGTTGTGCCAAGAACATACGTTAAGACTAAGACGAATGATATTGAAAAGTATTCACTATATCCTATAGAAATCAACGGTGTACAGCGAAATGGAAAAGTTTTATTAGAAGGTGAGAGAAACTAGGAAATTAACGTGTTTACTCCTTGCTTATTTCTCACCGAAAAAAAGATTTTCTGATCCATATTTACTAGGTACAAAGACTGAATGTGAGCTATTAAAATACAATGTGGAACCGAAACAGCATGTTCCCTCTTTGGGATCTAATACAGTAGCAGATAAACCATTTCGCACGGCCTCTTCATCACCTGACGAAAAATCAAAGCATACATCCCTCCACGAATTGTCGTCAACACTTTCACAATCTGCTAAAGAAGGAGCAACGGCTGAAAATGAAACAGAATCAGACTCAGGAACCACTCAGGCAAAAGGCAAGTAACAGTTTTGCAGCGTCAGAAGAAATAGTCCACTTATGCAAATCGTCTTTTTCTATTTTTGGAATCTCAGACTGTCACCAGAATGCAACTCTAAGCCTTGCGTTGCAACAAACGACGCACAAATAAAGATTGTAGCAGATTTCTCAATCTTACAAGGAAACTCTTCGCTTTGAATAACTAGCTTAAGGCTCAAAAATTCCTTTGTGTGAATAACGAAGTTGAAGAAACTATTGCAGCTGCTTACAGGTCTCTTGAAGCGTCGGATTTGCACAGAAACAATGTTTTCTGTACAATACCACAATTAACCACAAATAGGCACAAAATGCTCGGTTAACCGCGGTTAATTGACGGATTTTTTGTTGAACAAGCGATATGAGTACAAATCCTCCTCTGAACATTTTTTCGTGTTTCTTTTGAGTGTGTGTTCATGTGTTCTATGCAGTAAAACTGTCGGTTAACCAAAGTCCATACGGGTGAACTTTTGGACTAAGCAGTACCCGTCTGCTTCCCAGGACTCTTAGCTGCAGTTCGAAGATATTTAGACTAACGACCTTCTCGTAAGTCGAAGTTCACACTTCAAGAAGTAATGAAAAAGATTCTGAAATTTTTCGATAAATCATGTTGTCCTTACGTACATATAGTACCCACAAAACAAAGTGATGATTGACTACGAAACGATTAATCGTCTGTTCCCCGAAATCATGAGGTCAATTGGCGGTTAAGTTTCCAAACCGGGATATCAAAAATACCGGCGGTTAAGCGCGCTTAATTGACAGTTTGTAGCAAACCGCGGTCAATTGGCGGTTATTTGAGGAACTGCGGTTAACCGACGGTTTTCTATAAAAATAGACGACATGGTATGGTTTCCATAGCGAAAACCGGAGGTCATTTTCTATGTCGGCAAAAAGCTAGGAGACGAAACACTGTACTAGCAAACAAGCGTATTTTTAGTCCTTGTCCAGCAAAAATAGCCTCTATTGCGAGCTTGTTGTATTTTAACCCTTTTGTGCCGGGCTTTTTTTGAAAAAAATAAGATGCTTTTTTCCTTTCAAAAAATATCTGGAACAAATTTTATTGTTATATAGAAGCATTTAGAAATGTTTCAGAGTATGATAATCTTCAAAACAACCTATCACACAAAGTCCAACGTCACAAACATCACACTGATAACGCGTATCGGTACGTTTTTTCTCTCGTCTGCTTGTATGAGTACAAACTATACAGGATATTCGTGCAATTTTTCCTGTTGCTGTTGGTGGAACTAAAGATGGAAAATGACGTGCAGTAAGACGTTTGGGATTATCTCCAATAGTCGGACGGCCAGTTGGAGTTTTGGGCTGAGCATGTCTTTCAATCAGTTGTCGAATCAATTCATTTCGAAAATCGCCAAACTGAATAGTTTTTTTATGCTTGACTTTGAATAGCATATATGCGTTCAATGTTGATATATCCAGCAAATGAAGAAAAATTTCTTGTACCACTTGACGGTTTTTCGAACGCATTCTACAAAACTGATTTGCATGTCAGTTTTATCAACTGAGCCATGTTTTCGTTGTAATGAACAATACACTCTGGTTTTTCAATTACTTTTTGAATCTTCCAATCACTTTTTCGTGTTTGTATCATCCTTGGTTTGTGAATTGTGAACAACATAATGACGTCTCGTCTATTGATTTATCTTGCCATTTCAAAACCATTAGAGTGTTACTGTTGTTATAGTCAAAATCACCTTTTGTCAATTTACTGAGAAGTAGGCGTGTCAGAACGCAAGAGAGAGCACATAATACACACATAGCTATACGGAACGATGATGCAATAGTGTTACCAAGATAAGAAAAAAAGAGAGAATCTTTTCGATGAAGCCTAAATAATATTATACTCACGATAATATGTGCAAAGCTTCAACACGCTTATATGCGTGCCTCGACGCCAAGGGGTTAAGAATGTCTCATAGAACCTTCGTTTTAATCTCAGTTCATAGAACTCGAACAGATAGTTCATGGTTTGAGAAGAAAATTGGCGCCGCCGTTAAGAGTCTTGAGTCAGGAACTGCGAAAAAGTGCGATTTTTTTAAAAAGTCCAGAGGACCTCCGAACACCTCGAAACGTTTCCAAGAGTAAAAGCCGATAGGCTATTCAATGCTAATCAAAATGTCTCGTAAAATAAATGTCTTTTACTCTTGAAAACGTTTCGAGGTGTTCGGAAGTCCTCTGGACTTTTTAAAAAAATCACACTTTTTCGCAGTTTCTGACTCAAGACTCTTAACGGCGGCGCCAATTTTCTTCTCAAACCGTGAAATATCTGTTCGAGTTCTATGAACTGAGACTAAAACAAAGTTTCTGCGAGACATTCTTGAAATACAACAAGCCTCGCAATTAGACATAAAGCGAGACCGAGCATGTTCAGTCGTCTAGGTACTTAATGAGACTCGGTGTAACAAGACCTAGTTCGGACCAGACTCGTCTAGCCAAGACTCGGTTGAAACGTTTCAATTTTTTAAGAATGAACTTTATTAGATAAGGCAGCTGCCTCATAATATGTGCTAAACTGAGTGACAAAAAACACTGGTTTGCTAAAAACCGAGTCTCGATTAAACGAGTCTAAATGAATTTCTATGATGAAAATCAGGACTTGATCTCTTCTTTGGAGATGAAAAAATAAGTTGTACAAGAGATCTTAGAGGTACTATTATTTATGTAGTAGAATCTTGGTCTGCTAGATACAGTTTCTATCGCTATAATAGTAGTCGTCAATAACTTTTTCGAATAAGACAGCCAGCTTGGGTTTTCACACTTAAAGTCGAGATGAAACACTACGAAAACCCCATAGCTAAACGGTGACGATAATGGCAGGGACATTCACTAATGAGTTAAAGGCTCGAAATCTTATAAGTGGCATTTATATTGTATATCTTTTCTGCTAGGCGACAATTCCGCGGATGATAGTTTTTTGAAATGGCTCTTTCTCTTACAAAGTATATTAGCTGACAACAGCAGTGGCAGTGATGATGACCCAGAACGGCATCGAATTCAATGTGACGGATGTGGAAGGAATGGGTTCAAATCTGATCGATATAAATGTTTGAAGTGTACTAATTTTGACTTTTGTGCCAAATGTTTTGAGAAGCGTAAAGAAGGTCGTCAACATAGAAGTGGTCATCCTATGGCACACTATAAATTACCAAATGAGTTGTTCGGTGTTAAATATGACGATTCAGATGTTACGTTAAAAAATTTACAACAGAAGTATGCAGATGAAATCAATGAAGATATCACGTGCGATGTCTGTCTACAGGAACGTTTTAAAGGGCTAAGATTCAAATGTGATACCTGTCCAAATTATGATATCTGTCAACAATGTATGGACAGTGAAAAAACAAGTAAAAACCATAAGTTAGATCATCCAGTGATTGTTATTACAAACAATTATTTACCTCAAATCGATAGGAATGATATTGAATTTAAAGAAGAAGATTTTCTGGGAGGAGGGGCCTTTGGTCAGTACGAATGCTACCTGGCACAAGGCTGATAACTGAAATAATCAAATACATTATTTCTTCTTTATAGGAAAGGTATACAAGGCCAAGTGGTTATCAAAAAAATTGACGGTGGCATGTAAAGTGATACATGCAAAAGCTGAGCAAGTCAGAAGATTGGCACTCGATTTTCTAAAAGAATTAGCTGCTTTCAAAGAGTTATCAGGTGCATTTATCTTGAAGATCTATGGCTACGCAATTCAGAAACTCCAAAACGATGACCTGATATTTATGCTCATTACAGAATATATGGATAAAGGCAGTTTATCAAGTGTCATTTATAAGGAAGATATATCCTTGCGTCGCAAAATTGAGATGGCAGCAAATATTGCAAGTGGCATGCGTAAAATTCATCAACATGGTATGATTCATCGAGACATTAAGCCGGACAATATTCTGGTTTCATCCAACTATACAGCAAAAATTGGGGACATGGGTATTGCTCGTATGATGCATCCCGATGTAGCACTCACTCACATTGGACCGCAATTATTCATGCCTCCAGAATTCTACAGAAATGACTATGATCAAAAGCTGGATATCTATACGTTTGGGTTAACCCTAAATGAATTGTTCACAGAAACAAAACACAAATTCAATATGGGTAACGGAGAAAAGACATTAACCAAACAAAGTCCTATTTTGTCAGAATTAATCGCTCGATGTATTGACTCAGATCCAAGTCAACGTCCAACGGCATATGAATTAGAAAAAAGCTTAGAGGTTTATGACCGTGGTTTCAATGAACTCGTTCTGAAACGACATTTAAGCTACATTACTTGGTCAAATGAAAAGAAGAACAAAGCTTTCATGCAATTTTATGAACAATTTCATTCATATGCGAAAAATGAACTAGAGAAAATATTTCCACTTCCACAAAAGACAAAAGCGACAGCAACTCCAACTGCGGCACAGCGAACTCAAACAACAGTACAACATAATAATTTGTTCTGTAAAACTCATTAGACTTTCTGATAATCAGAAAAGTCGTCTTTTAAGATAGTTATTTTTATTGGTTATCTTTCGTGCAATAAACAGTTCTTCGCTTTTAACAAAGGCAAGGATAGCGCAGACAAAGGAAAAACCAAGAAGCACAGGAAGAATTACATTTTCACGTAATATAAAATGGGGAAATAAAGGAGTCATTTCTCCACCTTCTTAAATCTTTACTTTGTAAACTATTTTTGATCCGACCGATATTCGACATAAGCTTACAAAATGAGCGATTTCACAATTTCACCTGTTCAGATGTCCTATAAAAAAAGCCATATAGTGTTATAACTTATTTGATCAAGAATTTGCTAGGTGTCGACACAGTCTATACGTTTTTTTTCCTTATTCTTTTGGCTCATATCAACGCTCCTATTGGCGCTATTAAGCGCCAATGGTTACGCTATATACACTAGCGTACGTTATGGAGTAAAATATAAGGAAATTTGCTATTTCTTGAGTTGGAAATATTAAAATTAAATTCAACATACTCTGGCGCATAGAATAAGCGCGAAAAAATCAAATCAGGCGCTTTCTACACTAATTAAAAATGATTCCGCGTGGAACATAGAAACGACACCTAATACGGAAGACAATCATAATAATTAGCTAATTTTCTTTAAACATGAAATTGTCATTCATGCAAAACACTCGAATTGACTCATGAGTAAACGCTTGAGCAAGAAGGCTTGCTACAAGGAAGTCAGAATTCAGCACGCGTTTTTCATTTATTTCAAATGCTTTTGTCCGCAATGATTACATCGTGTTTTAGTCGCACTTTTCTTCGAGAACGTGTGTAATCAACCTTCGCCATACAGAAGTCTCTATGTGCAAGCAAAAAGTTATTCTAGTGGAAATAGTATTGTTCTGCGACCAACTCGCCAAATAACAAATGAGCTTCAACTTTAATACAACCCTAGCGAAAGTTCTAGGGCCCAAGAAATAGCAAGATCTTGGGGCAAGAATGTCCCAAGATCTTGTCATTTCTTGTGCAAGAAACAACCTTTTTACGATCTTACTCAAGAAATGTATTTCTTGCCTACAAGAAATGTACTTCTTGCCTTGTTGGCAAGAAAAAAGCAAAAAATTGAAGTGCCAGGATCGAGATTCGAACTCGCGATGTAGTGAGATAGTCTAGCTTATAATA